GGTCAGGACTTTAAATGGACACATGGTGTGTAAGAGGTTATGTTGTTAAATGTTGCATAAACTAACAGAGATCCTGTAGTCCAAAATATTTAGCTTGTGATTGTAAAATGTGATTTGTCATTGAGAGATTATTTTTCTGTATGTATATGAGAGTATTTTAGGAATCTAAGCACATAAAATTCTAGAAAAAATTTAAAAACTATTATTCCAGTAGAAAATGCTCAATCAGATTACTTGGGTTCAACCCCACTAAGTTTCTTATATTAAAAAAAAAAAAAAAAGACCAAGCAACACACTGCGAGTTGTGTATGTTGGAAATTGAAATGACACATCCTCCCCCATCCCGCAAACCACCCCACTTGTAATATAACCCATCCCAGTGAAAGCGCTGATACTACCATGGGCAGAGGGCACCTGTGGCCACAGCCTTGGTGAAGCCTCAAAGATGGGCGTCAGCAGACGCGCTGAGGGGGGCTGTGCCAGGGATGAGGGGGAATCCAGAGCTCGTTTCCATCAGACCCACCTGCTGCTGGATGTCCCTGGCTCAGGAATTGGGGGCTGGCCCACTGAGGCCCAGGAGGTCATCCCCCGACTTCCAGGTCTCCCACTCTACTGCTCCTTCTGGATCCTCAGCATATCCAACTTGCTGCTGGCCTTTCCTGTGGAGCAGCTCTTACCCAAATAGTTGGGCAGCTGAGTGGGTGGGAAGATAGTCTGTCCCCTTGGAGACCCCTAGAGCCAAGAGGCCTTCCTCCCTTCCTCTTCCTCTGGAGCACAGCCGCTCTCTACCTGGTTATCACCCAAATCCCTGGGGGTCACCCAAGGAAGGTTCCAGAAAGCTCCACATTTGCCCGCTACTGAGAAATGCACTGGGGTTGACCCCATGGCGCAGTCTCCCCAAGCAGGCTGGAAATGCATCTGGGATGGAAACAGCTGGTTTCTAGTGTTTGAGGGTAAGGCATGGGCTCAGTGCGGGCAGCTTGCGAGGCCAGCGGGGTGTGTGGACTCCCGCGCCAGGCTTTCTTCAGGCAGCTCTGTTCTGCTGCTTCCCTGCCCCAGTAGGAAGTTCCTTTTGCTTAGGTTTGTAAGTCACCTTGAGTGCAAGTGACTTCCTAAGAAAGACTCTAGGGTTGGGGAAGCTGGGATTTCTGGAAGCTTCCTGCATTGTATGGGTAATTTGCCAATCTCCAGGAAGTGGCTAGTTAACTAACTGGCTTTATTTCCAAAGATGTAGCTGTTCAGGTTCTTCGTGCTGGGGTAGGCTGGCTAGGCTGACTCTAGCCCACTCGGCTGGATTCCTGTCCCTGAGTGATGTGTGTCAGCAGGTGTGTGAGGGGACAAGTCAGTCAGGTGCTCCCTGGACCCTGGTTCTCCCAAAATCTTGAAGCTAGGCTATGATGTCTTCCCCAGCAAGGCTGGCAAACCCTTCCTGTCAGCCTCCACTTGCTTAGAGAAGGTTACCAGTCACATCATAGAGTTTGCAGTGACAGTGGGCCGTGGGACTGGTGGCCTGTTACTGAGTTCATCATCTTGCCTGGGGTAGGATTAGCTGCCCCCTAGACAGACGTCCTACTGACTGTAATATACTTGTGCTGCCTACTGACGGAACGGTTTAACTTTCCCTAACAAGACTGTTGTCTGCTATGTGATGTTAATGGAGTTCTGAAAAGCTCTGGATTCTATTGCAAATGGTTAGAATTATGTATTTGCCTAAGGTTGGGTGAAACAGGGCCAAAATGTTAGGTCTCCTTTCTCATTCTTTTCCATTTGTTCCCAAGAAGCTGGGCTTGGCTTTCGCTGATGTGTGTTCCTTTGGCACCTTACATATGAAATGTTTGATTTTATGGATTCAAATTGTAACAATCCAGGACACCCTGTTGGCCACTTTGACCTGTGTGGTTTCACATCACAACACTCCATGCAGAAAGCAACCTCTCCTCGGTGGCTTCTTCGGGATCCTTCCTGCCCCCCTTGCTCTCTGAGTGTGCAGGAAGCTGAGACCCTTGCCACCGCATCACCCCACCTCTCAGACAAGGGTGCCACCATGCCAGCAGTTATGCAGAAACACACACACCAGACAGACCGCAGCCCTTCCAGTACTCCTCGGCCTCGTTGGGATTGGGATGCCGGCTCCAAGTGGGGCAGGATCCCCTGGGCAAGGATTTCCTGGTGAGGGTCCTGATGGACTTTGTGGAGAGGTGTCACCCACCAACAGTCCCACGTGTTCAGAGCCTCGACTTCCAGCCCGAGGTGCCACCTGCCAACCCAGCACTGGATTTTATTGTCATCTGGATTTCATGGCATCGTTTGTGTTCTTCTCTTTTGTTCTGGGTTTAAGGCAGTTCCTCCGTATTCCATCCCTAAGACTACAAATAAATGTTGTAAATTCTCTAGTTGGCTCTGATGTGGGTTGAATTGTTCCAGGCAGTGAAAGAAAGCTGGCTCTAAACCAGTGTGATCTTTGCCTTGTTCAAGCCAGCCAAGTGCCATTTTGGATAAAGTTCATAGCTTACACTTTCTTTTTTCTGGGCAGCAGAGGTGGTGGGAGGTGTTACTTAAAGCTTTAAAAATAAATTAAGAGGTTTGGTTTAGTAGTTAAGACCTGTGTCTGAGACTGGTGTGGCAGTATAAGAGGTTAGTCTGGGCCCTTGCCAACACTGGCATCCCATAGCACAGTGTAGATCGGAGTCCCGGGTGCCCTGCTTCCAATCCAGACCTCTGCTAACACACCTGTGAAGGCAGCAAGGGGCTGTCTCAAGCATCTGTGCCCTCTTCCGCACGGGGAGAGCAGACGCAGTTCCAGGTTTTTGGCTTTGGCCTGCCTGTTACAGTCGTCCTGGGAGTGATTCAGCGGATGGAGGATTTCCTCCTGTCTCTCTGCCTTTCAAACAAAGAAGTAAATTCATCTGAAGACCCAGGCCTGGTGTCCCATATTGGAGCACATAGGTTCACTATCTGCTTCTCCAGCTTCATGCCAATGTGCCTTCCAGGACCAGTGATGGCCTAGGGGCTTGGGTCCCTGCCACATGTGAGACTTCAGCCTGGTCTAGCCCTGTCACAGGCATTTAGGGACTAAGAAAGCAGATGGGCATCTATTTCTCTCAAATATTTCCATGATGTTCTTAAAAATAAAATCTTCAATTACCTTGCCAAACAACACCTGTCTAAGCCTGATAAGATCTCCCTTGCACAGCCTACTGGGAATCACTTGGAGGAAAACATACGGAATGGCTAGTTAGCCAGATTTAGTTAGTAGCATCACCGAGACAGTATTTTATATTCTCTAGAGAAGTAGTACCTCTCAGCGTGGAATAGGCAACCACCAGTCAAAGAAATCACTTCACAATCTTCCTCACAAAAATAAATATCAATATCTTGATGTTGTGTGTGTCTGTTTAAAATAGTATTTATCCTAGAGGAAGGATGGCGGGAAGAGAGAGAGTCAGACTTTTTTGATCTGCTGGTCTGCTGTCTTCCCAGGTGCACTAGCAGGAAGCTAGAGCAGAAGCAGAGCAGCCAAGACTCCAACTGCCACTCGGATACAGGATACCTGCAGTGTGAGCGATGGCTTAACCCGATGAGCCACAGTGCTGGTGTCTAAGCCATTTCCAATCCAGCTTCCCAAGTATGCACTCAGGAAATATCAGAAAATGGCCCAAGTGCTGGGTCCCTGCCACCTATGTGGGAGACCAGATGAAGCACCTGGCATCACCCAGGCTGTTGTAGCTACAGGGACGAGTGAACCAGCAGATGACGATCTGACTTCCCCTGACTTTAGAGTAAACGAATCTTGTACTATTCAGTTTCTTACATTTATAGTCTTCTTACACGTGTGTACTCTTAAATCAGCTGTTAGAAATGCTTCCACAGTTACCACCTCTAATACATATAGTCTGTATAGTATCCTATGGCCTGGCTGACTGCTAGCTTACCCAAAATTCTTTAAAACACTGACCGGCTTCATTTGCAGATTTTTGCTTCCAGAAATGCCTGGGAACAGGAAGGGCTGAATTTGGCACTGAAGGCTTTGGGCAGCTCCCCCACACGTGTAGCTGCCCCGTGTCTGCAGGAGCCTTGGCGGTTCCGTGTGGAACAGGGGAGTGGAGAGGGTGTGGAGGATGGCCACGCTCCAGACACACCAACTGTGGCAGAGCGCGGGCTGTGACAAAGGGTTATTGGTTCCTTGTGGTACCTGCACAGGGAAGGGTTCAATGGCCAGGGAGCTCTTCCCCTGGCACCATTTGTTGTTTGCCCTGCGGTGTGGCTGCCCCAGCTGCCATCATTCTAGCTTTCAGGAGGGGACAGTGGGTGGGAGGATGGTGTACCTGGGCCTGGAGGCAGCCCAGGAAGGCACGCTCCTCCCCTGCTCACTGCTGCCTTTTGATGGCATTTCATCCTGTGGGGAGGGACTGCAAGGGAGGCCAGCAGCACTGCCCTCTAGCTGGGGACTCCTGGGCCCCGAGCTGGGTGAACGTGTATTCAAGCAACCAGCGGTCTTTCCTGAGTAGTGGCCATTGGATACCGGGGTTCACGTGAACTTCATTGGTTTGCCAGTGTTGGAACCAAGCATGAGGGCCAGAAGGGGTACACAGAGCAGTCCTGGAGTCCTGCAGCTCTGGAGAGGGAGGAAGGGGGCGTGCCTGGGGCTGCTGCCCGGGGAACTGGTATTTCCAGGAAGAGTTCTGGTGAACCAGTAACTCAGCAGCGTGAGTGGGCAGGGGACTTGCCTAGCTTTAGCCTACCAGGCTGCAGCAGAACAGCAAACCCCCCAGTGTGCACCCTGGGCTCTGGGCCTGCACCCTGAGCACACTGCCAGGACCCCTTGACCTCTGTCCTCATTGGTGCGTACCTCAGCAAGGCAGGACTCTCGGAGGACAGAGCAAGGGCTGTCCAGCGGAGCCTGCACAGACCAAGTCCTCCGGCCAAAGGGCTGTTAGTCTTCTCCTGGGTGGTGGGGCGGGTACCGCAAGGGACAAAATCCAGGCTCCATGCGGGGCCTGTTCTGTTGGGAAGCATTTATTGTTGCTCCAGGCCTCAGGACCTCCCTGGACAGAACAGCAGCCGCTCAGATCATTTCGCGCATGGCCTTGCTCAGCTTCTGGATCTTGGTCTTGGCGGACATATCGACGTACTTCTCTCCGATGCGGACAATCATGCCCCCCATGATGGACGGGTCCGTCTAGGGAAGGACCAGGCGAAGGCACGAGTTAACCTCACAGTCCGGCGACTGGGGTAAAGTGCTGGAAAAGGGCTAACGCGCCACCCAGGCATGTGACACGCACGCCGAGAAAAAGTTAAAGGGCGACTGGGCTTGGAACTGGAGAATCGGTTAACCTTAACCTGAACGCAACACTTCTCCTACAGGTAATTCAGTCTAGAATCTGACTTAGCCTCCGCCAAGACTTCTGAAAGCCATTCCCAGTTTGTAGGAATCTAGAAACGCCCCCAACACAAGACCTACCTTGACCTCCAGCTTCAACACCTGGCCCTGGCTCAGGAAGCTCTTCAGCACGGTCCTCAGTTCTGACACTGTGGCTTCATCTAGCGGCTGGAACACGGGAGAACAGACCTTCACACACACACCAAGGAGCAGCCTTCGCGGGCAGGGGCAAACCTGGCAGGTACAGAGGCTCACCTGCCCCAGAGGCTCTCATGAGGGAGAGAGGGTTGCTGGGTCGCTCAGGTGTGGCACTTTCTGCCCACACAGGTACCCCCACCTGTGCTGACGGAGAGGATCACCCTGCAAGCTCTCCCCGGGCATTATTTCCCTGTATGGGCAGCTGTGTCACCTGCTCCTATAATTTTCAGCTTTTTCAGCCGGGACCGGGGCTTCCAGAATCTCTGGCATGCCCCTTGTCTAACTTTCGAGGAGCCACCTCTCTCCTGCACGGAGCAAGTTCCCTGGGTGTCCACACTGCACTTGCTCCTCTGAGCCCCAGTGCTCCCTCCTGGTCAGACTGCATGAGGTGAGGACAGCTCTCGGCGGCTTGGTGAAGATCTCACAGCTGCTCTGTCGGGCGGTGGGGAGGTGATGGTCTGTGAGCACTCTATCAAAGCATGCTGCACTGAGGCCTCGCCTCAGTGTGAGACACAGACCTGGAGCCATTTCATGCCCCTGTCCCCTCACTGGTGGATGGCGTGGCCATGGCTGCCTCCCTATGCTACATGGTTAGGAGCAAGCAGCACCAACACAGTGCGATCCTGTGGAGTTGGCCAGCAGTGAGACACACACAGAAGTGGATGAAAGAATGACGCTCCCCACAGGGCAAGCACAACTCCCCATTCACAACTTCTCAGTGCGCATGGTCTGTCTGGGACGCGTATGGTGGTGGGGGAAGCGCAGTGGCTGCTGCCTGGTACTCACAGACGCGGTGGTCACTGTGCAGGGGACTTCTCCACGGTGGACGCTCATCATGGTGGAAAAGGCAGAGATGACTCCCTGGGCGTTGGTCAAGCGGCCATTCTCAGCAAGCACATCTGGAAAAGGGAAGGGGTGTCGGGGACACAAAACTCCCGGGCACAGATTAGTCTCGTGTAGGGCGTGCACTCCAGGTGCAGACTCAGATCCAGGGCCCCACACACTGCCTTCGGGGTCCTCCGAGACTCTGAATGGACTCCCCTCGCATGTGGCTGTCCAGTGACTGCTCTGGGTTGGAGACCATCCTGCCCCTGAGGCAGGAAAATGGGGGCTGAAGGAAGATGAGGGGACAGCCCTCGGGTCGTCCTAGCTCTCATGGACAAGTAGGCACTTGGGGAATGAGCCGACTTCGTGCCGTGGAAGACAAGAGGCGAGGCATGCTACAAGCCCAGTGAGAACCATGCCAAGCAACCTTCAGCAAAACCTGCCACAATGGAATCAAGACAAAGTGGCATTCTGGAGTGTTCTCAAGTGCTTTTCGTAGGAGTGCACGGCAAGCTCTTCAGACACTGAGTGGGGAGGGTTCTCCCTAGAGCAGACATGCCACGTCCTGTCAGGACTCAGCCCGCAAAGTGACATCCGCATTTACGCTACAGTCCCATGGGTGGCCACACAGCCCCAGATGGAACCGGAGGCCTGCGGGGGCACCTGGAGGTCTACAAGGGGTGTGAGTGTCCTGTCCTTGGCAGGACCCCTGGCTTTCCTCCTGGGTGCACACCACTGCCTGTACAATTGGAACTCTTTCCCAAGGGTGCGCTGTGGACGGCTCCTCGGCCACCCTGTGCAGACAGGCTTGGCACCAGCACCGGGGGGGCTGCTGATGCCACAGTAACACCAAGCAGGCTGGTATCTGCGGATAGTCCCCATTTGCTGCCAGCTCAGCTGCTGGGACCGCATCTGGGAACCCCAAGTGGGGAAAGACCCGGGACTTACTCATGAGGTTGGCTGTGAGTGGAGAAAACCTCTCCTTTGTGGTGATGTCATTGAGGCTCTTCACCTTGACTGAGCGCTTGACGTAGGGATTCAGAATGGAAGCAGCCAACTTGGGCTCCTTGAGGAGTTGCTAAAAGTACCAAGGAAATGCACCTTAACATTCTTCACAGTGCAACCAGCCCAGCGGCCCCCTCGCCGCCTGATTAGCGCTCTCAAAGCATAAGGCTAAACCCAAATAACCCCTACCCACTTTCCTGAAAACGCTACTCAATGATTTCATAGAGAATAACAATAAAGATGCTCTTTGAGAACACTAAAATCATACAAAGCTTCTCAATTCACTTTTGCTTTTCAAGAAAGATGATAAAAACAGGCAAAATAATTAATTCACTGCCCATGTTAATGCATCCAACATGGCCAGACTCATGTCTCACAGCTGTGCTGCCGTCAAGAGCGGCCCCACAGAAGGGGCTCCGCCTGTGGCTAGCCCCTGGAGGGGCCTCTCCCACAAACCCAACTCCACTTGCGAGAGACAGTGAAGGTTTCAGAACAGCCTTAGTGAGTGCGGGAACAAGAGGGGACGGAGGCTGCGAGCGCCGTGGCAAACCAGCAGCCCGCTGAGCCGAGCCACACCTGCTCTGGACTGCGGCCTCGGGTGCGCCCTCCCAGCAGCCTGCTCCCCGCCCGTCAGGCCAGGGTTCCTGGGAGCCCACAGCCGCTGCTTCTGGTCAGGTATGCGTTTACCTGCCCATTACCTGCCTGGCACCTCTGCCCAGGATGCTTGCCAACATCCTGCGGTCTCTGGTTCAGGCTGCCGGTTACACAGGGCCAACTGAAACCAAAAACCCACGGAGTGGACCTACAGCAACAGCACTTCCCAACGGTGATGGCCTGTGTGTGGGACGGCATGTCCCTCTCGGCCCCCCCCCCCCGCCCCGAGTGCGCGCGTTTCTAGTCTCAAGGTCACTGCCCCTTCCCTTCCGGCACCTTCTGACTGACCTCCAGGCTTCAGCCAAGCCCTGTTCCATCTCTAGCTGGCCGGCCACACTCCCCGCTGGGAGCACAGCTGAGTAGACATAACTGACAGAGCAGACGACACCCACTGTCGTTGAGCAGGCCAGCAGGAGGGCCTGACTGCTTCCTGCCCCTTCCTCGAGAGCGGCTGGAAACAGAGGGCATTGGCCCAGCGTGCAGAAACTTGGCGAGACCAGTCGGTGAAAAGGCAGGCAGAGATGGTTCCCTCTAAGGTCAGTAAATTTATCCTTCATGTTAAGAAAAAAAGGCAGCAGCAGCAGCCCCGGCGGCCTGTGTTCAGCTGCCACTCTCCCCTCTCTTGGTGGGATCAAAGTTGACAATGACAGCCCAGGGAAAGGTTTCTGAGAAAACAAAGCATTAACCCAAACCATTGGTTATATCAGAGACCATCTGAGAAACACTGGAGGACAAGCATGGACTTCTGGAGGTGACCGTCATATTCTCTACTGGAACGGCAAGTTGGCTTCACATTCTGGATGTTTCTCTCCTCTCAGACTGAAGCCTAGGCTCCTTGAATGGGTATCCTCTTATGCACCTGCTTGTTCCTGTCCCACAATTACAGAATCAACCCGAACACTGCTGGTTTTTCGGGGGCAGTTTTTTGTCACAAGCCATACCTCATTAGGGATGCCTAGTTAAAGACCTAAAGGGCAAGAACACACGAGTGACACTCACGGAGACTCGCAGCAGCTCCTTCTCTACTTGCTCCAGTTTATTCTGTTTGGATGCGGCAGAATAGAGAGCGGTGGCGTAGCGGCCTTCCACACCATACACCTGCACGGGGGGCTTTCAAACGAGAGTGGGGAGACGGTGTGACACCGTCACAGCGCACCCACACACATTTCCCAGCGCCCAGGGCGGCATTCGGACAGCTGTCCTGAAGGGAACTTCCCTCCTTGTCAAAATCCACGGGGCTCCAACTCCTCACGCGGAAAGCGAGGGGTTCGGCGGACAGCGACCAGCACCCTTGTAGCTCCACCTCAGGGCAATCCGGGACTTGAACTCCGAGATCTGGCCAGCCTTCCTCCACACCCAACAATTCGCAGCAGGGACAGTGTCTAACTGAGTCCGCCACCCCCTCTCCGGCCCATGCCCGTGGATTCTGTCCACGTGGGAAGACTGGGATAGACGCTTCCCCTCCCATGCACACTCGCACGCTCCTCGGCGTCACCTACCCTCACCAGCTTGGCAAACGGCCGGGCCACTGATGTGCTGAAGCTTCGCACCTTCAAAGCAATAAAGTAAACAATCAAACCACAATCCTTCAAGGCTGTCAGTCACTCCACATTACCCGTTAAAAATGACTTTGAGGGCCCGGCACCATGGCCTAGTGGCTAAAGTCCTCGCCTTGAATGCGCTGGGATCCCAAATGGGCGCCAGTTCTAATCCCGGCAGCTCCACTTCCCATCCAGCTCCCTGCTTGTGGCCTGGGAAAGCAGTGGAGGATGGCCCAAAGCCTTGGGACCCTGCACCCGTGTGGGAGACCTGGAGGAGGTTCCTGGCTCCTGGCTTTGGATCGGCATAGCATCGGCCGTTGCGCACACTTGGGGAGTGAATCATCGGACGGAAGATCTTCCTCTCTGTCTCTCCTCCTCTCTGTATATCTGACTTTCCAATAAAAGTAAAATAAATCTTTAAAAAGAAAAATGACTTTGAAATCACCAGGGCAAGCTGGTTATTGTCACCCAGGGATCCATTCCCACCCTGCCTTTCCCAGGAGAACCATCCTGGGTTTTTAGGAAAATTGCATTTCCCAAAATTTCCTAGTTTGTCAAGAAGGAGTGGAGGCAAGCACAACCCAGTCAGTTCATGTCTCAAAAAAAAAAAAGTTAATTCTGGGTATTTGCAGTACCACACCCTGAGCAGGATTTTAATCCTGTGTGTGTGTGTGGTGGGGGGACGACCCTGCCCATGATCCGTAACAGAGCCACTTCAAACTAAAGAGCTCTAAAAATCAGGGAGAATGCTGCTTGCAGCAGAGTTCAGGTTCTAAGCGGTGGTGTCCTGTCTTTCAAAGGGCAGAGTCGGAACGCCCAGTGTACAAGGCTCCCAGTGCGCGAGCTCCGGAACGCCCCGATTTCAAACTCATCGATGGGAAAACCATTTCCAGCGCTGACGGGGAAACGACCGCAGGCGCCGGGGCCGATGCACACACCACTGTTAACCCTCCGCATGGGTTCGGATCCCCACTCCACCCTTACCTCAGCGAACACGGAAGCACGATCTACAGCACGGGCGGCCCCGGCCGCTCTCCCCCAGCGCCCCTGGAGCCGAGGGTTTCCGCCGCGCGTGCAGGCAGCCCCGCGCCCGGGACCCTCACGGGCGACCCAGAGCCAAGCCACGGCCGCCTCACGATCGCCCGCGCTCGCCAGGCCCCACGACCTTGGACGGCGCCCCTGGGTCGCCAGCGGCGGCCTCGAACCCTGGCGCTCAGGGTCTGGGACTTCAGGCATGTGTGTGGGGGTCCTGCCAGCTGTTTTCTCCTCACCTGTCGGCTGAGCCCGGACACGGCGGGGGCCGCCATCTTCTCTTCGGCAGCTGTAGGTCAAACCCGACTAGGGCAGCGGAAAGGGGCTCGAGGGCGCAGGCGCGCGGCAGCGTCGCCGCTGGGCTCTCTGGGAAGTGTAGGCCCGGACCTCCACAAGACATGCGCAACGACCTGCTCAGGCTGGGAGTTGTAGTCTTCGGAAGAAAAGCTCTAGGGGTGGCGGCCCACAGGGAGGACGTGAGACTAGTGCGGTTGCACCTGAAAAGGACATTCTGAGCTGACCTTGCAGCGGACTGCTTTTGCGGTCGCTAGTGGCTGAATGTGGTAGCTTTTCTTCCATGTCATGGCTGTCGCCAGCATCGTTAGCGTGTTCCTGTTTCGCAGGTGGGCCTCGCCCTTCCCTGAGCCGGGACGCGCCCTCCATGTCCCCTTCCCGTCAGTGAGGGCATGTGACATTCTGGTGACCGAAGGCCGATTTCCTAGGTAGGGTAGATGATGACGGGGGACGAGATAGGAGAACCCTGACATCAAAACTCAGACCGCACGCCGCGCGGCAGGTGCCTCGGCCTGCGTAAGAACAAGTGACTTCCCTCTGCCTGGAGCAGCTCTGAGCCAGGACAGAGGGATAAGACGGGGTTCCCTGAACCGTGAAAGGAAGAATGTGTCAGATCTGTGATAGGAAGATGCATTAGCAGAGCCTTTTTAGAGTCGTTTTCTCATAATTCCGATTTTTTTTTTAATGGACCAAGGTAGGGAAAAAAGTGATTGGTTTCTTTTCTACCACCAGAGGTCGCTGTTGTCCATGGTTTGGTGTATCTTTCCCAGCCTGAATATCCAGTTGGTTTTGTGACCTGGACCAAATTTCTCTGTTTTAGTTTTTCTTTTTAAACTTCTTCTTCTTTTTTAAAGATTTATTTATTTTTATTGCAAAGTCAGATATATATATGTGTATATATATGTGTATTTATATATATGTATATATGTAGAGGAGGAGAGACAGAGATGAAGATCTTCCATCCAATGATTCATTCCCCAAGTGACCTCAGTGGTGGGAGCAGCACTGATCCGGAGCCAGGAGCCAGAAGCTCTTCCGGGTCTCCCACTCGGGTGCAGGGTTCCAAGCAGTCCTCGACTGCTTTCCCAGGCCACAAGCAGGCAGCTGGATGGGAAGCGGGATTGCCAGGATTAGAACCGGCGCTCATATGGAATCCCGGCACATTCAAGGCGAGGACTTTAGCCACTAGGCCACGGCATCGGGCCTCATTTTTAATTTCTAGAACGAGTATTATAGTAGTACTCCTTTATATATTGTTAAGAAAAATAAGGACAACAGACATAAAGTACTTAGAACGTTTGCCAGAGAGAAGGCATTCAATTATGAGTTAGTTCTTTATTTTGTGAAATTGTGTTGTTGTTGTTCTAAATACATGTTCACAATCTGTAGCAGTGTTTTCCTTTTTAGTTAATGTAAGACTAAAAGATACACAATTACAAAAGGTTTTCAAGCTCAGGGAAGGGACTGGGGGTTGAGATGCAGCAGTTTACAAAGCAGTTAACACACCTGTTAGTATTATTATTTTTTAAGGATTTCCCAGGCCATTTAAAAAATGTATGTATGTATGTATATATTCATTTATTTATTTAATGTGATTCTTTTTTTCTTGTATAAATTTTATTTTTGATAATTTTTACATATTTGATTAAGGTGCGAAGGGTCAAGGGCAGGAGGAAAGCAGGTGAGACCATTGTTTTCACATTTTCTTCTTTCCTTCTTATATCTGGGAGAAGGGGAGACATAAGAGAACCGCCCCCAGCCTCCCAGACATCCCAGGGTCCCCGATGTGGGGCACGCTCCGAGGGTCCTGCTCAGGTAGTTTCGATAGTTCAATAGTTCTGTATTGCTGCCAATCTTGCCACTCTAATCACGATGCAATCTCTCCAGACTCCATGGGCTGACAAGGCCCAGCTTACAGACCCCGCTTGCCCAGGTGTTCACTGCCAACACTTGGCTGGGGTAGTTGGTCGATTTGTTCTGTCCTCCATCCTCTGTTGTGGTACCAGGTGTTCTGAGCAGGCTCCAGTGGACTGCCATATCCTTCATGTGCACCTGGATATGCTGTCCACTGCTCCGTCTGAGCCACTGAGGAGGCCCAGCTCTGACACATGCACTCCACGGTCAGTCCGTGGAACTTGCAATTTTCTCCATGGTTGGAGTTCTGAATCCAGCAGTTTAGTTGGGGGGATTCCCAAAGAAACTTCGTCTGAGGAGATCCCTGACCTGATTCTTGTGTGTGCCAGCCAGTACGGGGTCTGGCACAGTCCATTGCCCAAAGCAGCTTTTGCGCACACTATTAGTTGCACTTGCTGGGTTAGTTCTGTCTCCAGCCCTGTCTTCTGCGCAAACTAATGAGTGTTGCAGTCCAGCCCGATCCTGCCCACCGCACACTTAGCCTCCACGCGGACCAGTGGCAGTTATGGCCTCGTTGGACCCATCTGCAATAACCCCCACGCGGCCTGCCCCCACCCTTGTTCCTGTGATTGCCAGTGTGTACAGCAGACTGCTCCAGACTGTCTCATATTCCATTCAGCTTTCATGTGTGTCAATGGGCGTTGAAGCCTAGTTCAGCCCAACCAGTCCCACTCTCCAGCCCACACACGTGCCAGCAGGTGCCACTCTCTGTCTAGCCGTGCACGGCCCAGTCCTGATTTTCATGCTCACCAGGCAAAGTGGTAACCCAAGAAGGAGGTACTTACTATCTCCCTACTGGCCCACTCCCACTCCTGGATCTTGCACACTGCAGGTGGTACTGCAATTGAGCTCCACAGAGTTTTCCCCCATGCCAATATCTGCCAGCTGATGCTGTGGCAAAGCCCAACCAACCCTCACCCACTCTGGCTTATGGATGAACCAGCAGGTACAGTCTGCCTAGCCTGACTTGTCCCCAATCTAGCTTATGTGAAGGCTAACAGGTGTTGCCCAGCCTGGTCTGTCCCCAATCCCAGCTGTCATGCTTACCAGTGGGAATAGTGGCCCAGCAGGGGAGCTCCCTGCAGCCCCCTACCGGGTTTGCCTGCTCTCCCCCACGTCTCATGTGTGCTGGTTGGACACTGGCTCAGGCTGGCATGGCCTGCTTCACCTTGGCATTTGCCAGTGGGTGCTGTAACCAGGCCCAGCCCAGCTAGTCCTCAGTTCCTGTTCACGCTAGTGAGGGCTACAGCCTAGCCCAGCCTAGTCAGTCCCCAGTCCCAGCCCTGATGTGAACTGGCTGGTATTGTGGCCCGGCCTGGCATGACCCACACACTGTTCTGGCTCTCGGATATGTCAGCAGGTGATATGAACTGGCCTAGCCTGTCTCACCCCCGACCTGAGCCAAAGGTAAGCCTGTGGGTACCGTAACCTGGCCTGGTCTGGGCTGCTCCGTTTCTTGGTTCTCATGCTCACCTGTAGGGGTGTGTCCAGACAGAGGAGTTCCCCAAGCTCCTCCATCAGAACGTGTCCTAGTGTCAGATCTCATGCCCACCGGTGGGTCCATTTGCCAGTCCTACTTAGTCCACCTCCTGTCCTAGCAGGAACAGTAGGCTTGCCTGACTGGCCCTCACCCATTCCGGTTCTTACTATTGGGTGCTACAGCCCAGCCAAACCTAGTCCACACCCAGACACAGCTCACACATGGCTCAGCAGGGGCAGACACCTAGCCCAGCCCATCCTACACCCACCTTGATTCTCACGATCACCAGTGGGTGCTGGAGTCTAGCCCAGTCTGGCACACCCCAGACTCAGTCCATACTTGTGCCGAAGGGGAGACTGCATCCATGTCCAGACCGTACACAGCCCCCACTCTGGCCCCCATGCTCACCAGTGGGACCTACAACCGAACCGGGGCATCCCCTTAGCTCCCCAACCAGGCCTGGTCCCAGCCACAGATCATGCGCGTGCCAGTGGTTGCTCTGACTCAGCCTCAGCTTGGCACAGCCTCTTCCCCGTCTTGGCCCTTGCCTTCAGAAGCTGCAGCCTGGCCTAGCCCAGCCCAACCCCAGTCCTAGTTCTTGCTGGCGGGTGCTGCAAGCTGGTCCTGCTCAGTCTGTTCTCATTCCTGGCTCATGCAAAGCAGTAAATATGGCAGCCTAACCCAGCATGACCTGCACTCCCTCCTGATTTCTGCACTTGTCAGTGGGCTATGGTGCCCTGCCCGGTCTGGCCCCTTCCAAAACTAAGACACTTGCCAATGGATGGAGCTACCCAGCCCAGCCTGCCCAACACCCGTGCCCGAACCACGTGTTCATCAGCGGAAGCTATGACCCACTAGGGGAGTTTCTTAGGTTTCCCCATTCGGGCCACTCCCAGACCCAGATCTCATTCAGGAAGCCGGTGCTTGACCCTTACACAGTATGGCCTGCTCCATCCGTCCCGGCCTTTGCATGAGTTGGTGTTGCTCGGCTTGCCCCACACCCTATTTTAGCGTACTCATACGGGTGCTGCGGCCTGAACCTGCCCCACTTGTTCCCAGCCCCAGCACTGGTGAGCATTTGTGAGTTACATAGTCGTATCTAGCTCAGCCCATCACCATCCCAACACTCAAACTAACCAGAGGGACTTGTAGTTCCATACGGATTCCCCCACAGTATCCACCCTCGGACCTGGTTCTCTTGCTTATTAGTTGGTGTCATAGCCCAGACTAATGTGACCCATCCCTGATCCGACACTCCCTGTCAGGTACTGGGATCCAGCACTGCCAGACAGGCCCCCAGCCATTGCTTGTGTGTGCGCTGACGTGTGGTGGTCAGCCATGACACACCTCTTGGTGACTCACGTCCCCGAATAGAGTGTGTGGCTTTGAGGCCCAGCTCTGCTTGGGATCCCAGCTTCCTGCTCACCTGCACTGTGCGAGGCACAGGTGATGGCTTGATGCGTGAGCTATGAGCTGAGCTCTGGGCTCCTGACTGGTCTGACACAGCCTGGCGCCTTTGGGTATTTATGAGTGAGCCAGCAATTGGGAGATCTTGGTCAATGTAGGGAAACTTTGTTTCAAACAAATAAGTACAAGTTCATGGAAAATACAACTTGTCTTTTAATTCCATGTTCCATG